TCATCTGTGAAATATGTGTTGAACTGTGATTTGACCTTGCAGGGCTATGGCGAAGATTGGTGATAGTAACTACAAAGTATACATTGCACAGAGTCAATTCTAAAATAAAATAGTAGTTGCTTTTGTGAAGGGGGCAATGCAACAGTCTGCCTGGTAATGTAGTTAATCAGGACATGTTGGTTTCCTCCTCTAGACTGTAAAGTATGTTCATCTAACTCTTCTTTATCTAACCCCAGTCTCCATCCTTTCTTAGCAGTATACACATGGGAGGATCCCAACACATGTTTGAGTGGATGCATGCAGGAATTCATTCACTCATTCCTTCATGCATCCACTCAAACCTTCATTACCTTGAAGGGCTCCAATGAAATAGGAGGCTGGGGCTACTGACACCCATCCTTTACCTCAAAAAAGCTCTGAATGGAAGTCACGGAATCAGTCCAAGTTTTAGACAATTCCAACTGAATCCCTCTGCTTTACCACTTTGAGGATTCTGATCCTACCTACCCTGTGGTGACCAGCCATTCCTGGCCGTCTCCAAGAAATAGATCAGTGACCTACATATGAATCTGAGGCTAGTAAAATTTTTAACTTACAAACTATCCTGAGATTTTTTGTTAACAACGAATAGTTGGGAATTTTCACTTCATTTTTTTCCTCTTTTAATTCTACAGTATATTGAAAAAGGTTCCAGCCAAGAGAGTTATTGCCTCTCTCCTTACCTCGGTTTTAAATCTTTGTTCAAAGACAACTTGTTTTAATTGAAAATGTTCAATCAATTTCTCCCCTCTTCCCCAACCATGTCCTGTTCCTTGACCTAAACAGGGCCATGGCAGTAAATAATCTGGAGTGAGGCTTTCAGGATTTGAGGAATATATAATAGGTTTGTAGAGGGGAAAGGAAGGTGGGTTATTCCAGATGACTCCTGTCTTTAAAATCCTGTCTTTTAAACAGAGGCTGTCCAGAATGATTAACACCTTATAGTGGGATGTTTTATGGAATAGCCCATCTCCTTCCCTTGTACAGTTGAAGAGGATTGATTAACAAGGATACTTCCTACCATTACTTCAAGCCTGGCTCTTTCTATGGGTTAATGAGGAAAAGATCAGGCTTCTCTCTCCTCCATTCTTTCATCCAGTCTATCCCTCTGTGGTTCATCATCTAGGCACCATCACATGCTTCATCCCAAAACCCTGTGAAGTAGGCATTTGTGGTGAAATTTTATAGATGAAGAAACTGAAGCTCAGGGAGATGGGATAATTTATGCAAGGTCACACAATATTCTAGTTCCCGTTTTCTGCATTAAAAAATTGCCCCCAAACTTAGTGGCTTAGAATAATAATAGTTGTTTTCTCATATTCTTCGTGGGTCCAGAGGTAAGGTCTCAGCTGGGTGGTTCTAGCTAAGAATCAGATGCAGTTGTAGTCAGGTAATGGCGGGAGGTGGAACCGAAGAATGCTGGAGGAACTATAGGCTGGAGTCTCTCTTCTCTCTTCTTGTAGTCTCAAGAGAGTCAGGCTGCTTGCATGGAGGTGCAGGACTCCAGCCTGAGAATTCCATCAAGCAAGTACAAGCTGCATCACCTTTTCTGTCCTCACCTCAAGTTCCACAATGTCACTTCTCCCACTTCTGTCATTCTTTTTGTTACAAGTGAGTCACAAGCCCATTCAAATTCAAGGGGGGGGGGGACATAGACCACACCTCTCAATGTAAGCAGTGTCAAGGTCATATTATAGAATAATGTGTGAGATGAAAGATATTGTCACAGGCATCTTTGGAAAATACTATCTGCCATGCACAGCACGTAGCAGAGCCAGGATTCGGATTAGATATGTCTGCCTCAAAATTTTTGCTGAACCTTTTAGCTCAGACTGCAGGAACATCGGCTATCCTCTGTGCCCTGTGGATTGTACTGTTAACACACACAACCACAATTTGGTCTCCTCAAGCCAACTAGAGACTGGCTGGGTGAAAGCAGCCAGCCCACCTCTCTGGGCCCTGGCAGTGAGACTGCCTCCAGAGTCTGCTGGTCAAAGAGGCCATGTTTAATGCCAGCTTGTAAACTTTTTGAAGAAGAGGACAGAGAAGGTCGGTCACATCCAGAGGAAGGAACCAGGTGGCAGCCCCAGAGCACAGCGAGCCTGCGGCACATCTCACTGTCATAAACAACTTGTCTGGTGTTTTTCCTTCTCCCACCAGGCACTGGCCTGGGATGACTCAGGCTTTGACAGAAAAGGTGCCTTCAAGTTGGGAAGCAGGCCAGAATAGTGGAAAACTCATGGTTCTGGAGTCAGACTTGCATAGGTTTGAGTCCTGACTCTACCATTACCAGTTATGTAGCCTTAAACAAATTTCTTAACCTACAAAAGGAAGATAAAATTGCCTTTGTCATTGGTTGTTTCGAAAATTAGAATGCATATCTAGTCAGAGCATCTAGTGCAGGGCCAGGCACATAGTAGCTGCTTCATAAATGCAAATTTTCACGTCCTGGGCCATGTCCAACCTGAGTTTAGGGACTTCTTGAAGAAGATGGTGAGAACTCACTTGACTTTTTCTCAAATGCTTGTCCTTCTCCATGGCCCTGCTTGGCACAGCAGCCTAGACAACCTAGGCCAGCCCCAGACAGCACTGAAGGAAGGCCTGCAGCAGCTGCCCAATATCCCACAGAAGGAAGCAACTGCACTTTGTCCTCTCCACTGTGACCTACCAAGGCCCTTCTCACCAAACACTCCTTCACGTGGGTCTTAGCACACTGCAGGGTTTCAAAATGCTTGTTGGATAGATGGAAGGATGGATGGATGATAGATGGTAGATCTTTTCTGCCCTGTTGTTCACTTGTGTCCTCTCTCTGAAATGCCCTCTTCAGTTGTCCTACCTTTATACTTTATAACTGAGAATGGTCCTTCTCCAGAGAGCCCTTTGGGCCAATCTCAGGCTCCTGCTCTGCTGCATGTCACCCTGCATGGCCCCCCCATATGTTCTGAAGTCAGGGGTGTGTGTGAGAGAGACACAGAAGTGTATATGAAATGGTGCCGTGTCCTGGTGGCCCTCACAGAGAGATGGTTAGGCAAAGTAGTTAAACGCATGGATCCAGAGCACATAGGTTCAATCCCAGCTCCTTATTAGCTGCCCAACCTTTGGGAAAATTACTTGCCCTCTCTGAACAATGGAAATAGTATATCTACTTCATTGTCTTGTGAAGATTAAATGTCACTATACATAAGGCCCTTAAAAGATTGCCCAGCCCATACTAAACGTTATGTAAGTATTAACTATTATTTATTCATTCAACAAATATGTATTTCATACTTCCTATCTGCTGAGTATGTGGGAATTTAGGTGATGAATAAGACAGATGTGACCTCTGCCTCATAGAGCTTGCAGGCTAGAAGGGGCTACTGAAAAGAAGACACAGTTAAAATACACTCTGAGGAGTGGTCTGGGTGGTGAAGACCTGGAAGAAGAGGCTGTGGGAAAACCTAGGAGGGGCGTTCCTCCCAGTAAGGAAGACTTAGCCAGTAAAGTGGCAACAGAGCTGAGTCTGGAGTAGGAGTGTGTTCTGGAAGTTCTGTGAAAGGCAGGGGAGTGGTCTCGAAGATGGCAGGGTACGGGCAGATGCCTGGAGGCAGAAGTTCAGGATTGCTGAATGTGAAGGGCAAGCAGGGTGGAAGCTGGGACATAGCCCGCACAATGCTGAGAAAGTAATCCAAAACCCAACTGGGAACAGCCTTGTAAATTGTGCTCAGAAATTTGGACTTTAAAGGCAACTGGAAGGTGCTGACAGTTTTTACTCAGCTAAGTTACATGGTTAGATCAGCATTTTAGAACAATCCTCCCTTGGCTGCAGTGTAGATAATGGACTTGATGGGGACCAGTCCTGTGGCAGGGAGGCCCATGAGAACAGGGTGACAGCAATTCAGGAGAAAGATAATGTTGGCCTATTCTCGGGGAGTGGAAAGAAGTGAACAAATTCAAGAGACAGAAAGTCTCATGGAGAAGAGTTGGTGACAACTGGGATGTTCAGAGCTGAGGGGTGAGGGAGAGGGAAGGGCTAAGGGTTCAGGTGAGTACACACTTGATTTCCATACTATGAGATGAGTGACAAGTGCTTTGAATGAAGTCAGTTCGGAAGCCATGATGCTGTGGGGCAAGGACACCAGTCGCAGCCCTGGGAGGAGAGGAGAGGTGCATCCTGGAAGGCTCTACTAAAGAGATATCATCTAATTGGAGAATTGATGGATATAAAGTAGCCAAGGGAAAAGGAGGAGAGATACTTCAAGCAGAGGATATAGCAAGTGTGAAGGCCCAGATGTGTGAGAGATAACAACAGAGACTCTATGCTATTGAGGAGATGATTATTGTAGTAATTCATACTAAAGTGTTAATGGTCAGTATGGAATTGGCCCTTTCTCCTTCCCCAGGGATTTTGCACTTTAACAGTTCATGAATCTTTTGGGCAGTGACATGGTAGAATTTCAAGGGGCAATGGGGGTACTAGTTAGGATAAGGTGGTTTTACCATTGTACCTGAGGCTCCCAAAGTAGATGACTGATCCCTGATAGTCAGGCAGACCCTAGTCTATATACAATAAAGATCTCTTTCCCAGAGTTTTGCTTGTCTGACTCCATGCTGAGCCACCTGAGACCAGATGAAGGGAGTCTAGTGCTTTCTAAAGTGTGGCAGTATATTCTAAAAGCCATTAGCACAGGCTTTTGGTGAGAGGCTACCTAGCTCCATATCCTGGCCTCTCCATTTCCTGCTTCTGTGACCTTAGGCAAACCATTTCAGTTCTGTGCACTTCAGTTTCCTAATCTGTAAAATGAGGATAATAATAGTAATTACAATGTAAGATTTTGTGAGGATCAAAAGAGAGAGTGCATACAAAAAGCAGAACAACACGTGGTGTCACTGTTTTTAATACTCATCATTTTTTTAGTGTCCTCTTCTCACTCTGTCTCTGTCTCTTTTCAAAAGTTATTTCTTAACGCACACACCTACAGATATGAAGCTGGGGCGGAACGTGGCAAGGACGTTTTTGGATTATTATCACCTGAACCCCATGGTTGAGAAGTTGGCGATTCCCATGCCGAGGCTGCGGTAAGTGGCAGAGCAGAGTGGTCTGGGCTTGAGTCCAGCTGCACTGGCCATGTTCAGGGCAACTTCCCTTTGCCTCTCACTGGGCCTCAGTTTCCTGTCTGTGCCACAGGAAAGATAATCCTGGACATTTTACAAAGATTGTATGGGACAGAAAAGTGTATTTCCTGAGCATAACGCATCATTAAGGGTCAGTGAGACTGTGAGGAGTGGTCACATTTCTGGGTTTAACATGAGAATCCACAGGGATGGGGGCTGTGGGGAGCTGAGATCAGCTACTGTTCTGAGTTAGGCTGAGTATTTCCACATGTCTCCTCATCTGATAGCTCATCCTCTAGGATTTCTATGTGAACCTCCTCAATTCTTCAATTTCCTTGTCTGTGAAGTGAGGACAGTGGAGCCTGCTTATAAGATTGTTATGAGATGTGTCTTAAAGCACCCAGTACAATTCCAGGCTTACATATATCATTCCAGTACACAATAGTCCCTTTCTCTCGAGATGTGAAGGTTTGGGGCTGGAGAGGACATACCATTGAGAAGTTCCACCTCAGGTCCTCTGCTGAGGCCAACTTTCAGGTCCAGTAAGGAGAGATGGTTAGGAGGTGAACCAGAGTCTGACATGTTGGGTGTTCCCGTGCCCATTGGCAGTGAACCCAGGAACGTTTAAGCAGTGACATCCAGTGGCATACGGAATGTGCTGCCTTGCCCTACCTGAGCTTATCTCCTACTCCCTCAGGGGTCCATCTTCCTTGGAGGAGGTGACCATGTCCAACTCCCTGCTCCTGCCAGACCATTCTTTCCACTGACCTTGCCCATGACCTTATCCATGTACTTTCGTACCTCAGGGCTTTTGCACTGATGCACATTCCTCTCCAACTGGCTATTAATTAAAACAATATAAATGACTTTTCTTCTACAAAGTACTGTTTGTACATCATCTTATTTATTCCTTGTAGACATTGTATTCCCCATATTACATATAAGGAAAAGGAGGCTCAGAAAGATGAAAAGAAGGTCTGCGATGCCTGAGATCAAAGAGTTTTGGGCAGAGCCAGGGTTTGAGCCTAGGCTTTAATGATTCCAAAGCTGAACTGAAGTCCAGCTAAGCTCTACCTCAAGTGAATGTTCATCAGTGTGGATTCAAATTTTTGTTGCAGGATCATTTAAGTTATGGAATCATAGGCAAGTTTCTTGGCCTCTTGAAGCTTTTCTCTACCTACTTGAAAACAGGGATAATAGCAACCTCTAAATATGGTTCTGCAGATTAAATTTTAGCATAATAGAGTGCCCAGCAGCTAGTAGGTGCTCAATAAATGTTTTCATTTCCTCTTGTTTCTGGGTTGCAGCCCCAGATTTCTAACCAGATCATCAAGGCCAACGACAAGTCCCTTGACTTATCTGGTTGAGTTGAATGATGTCTCAGGCCTGCATCCCACATCTCCAAGCCCTGCATTCATGTAGGGATATACTCTGACCAATACCCTGCCTCAGATTGTTCATAAATCATCTGGGATCTCTTTGCCCCCAATCCTGGGGTATTAGAAGCTCTTGCAAGAGGATGTTTATTTCTTTTGCCCCTGCAGTGGCTACCCTGCACTGAGCATTCATGCATATGTATATTCATTCATCCACTCAGGAAAGGCAACACTTTATGTCAGACTCCTGGCAGGAGGGAGGTTCTTGGATGAGTAGCTGATTAAAGCATGATCCCTGCCTCTGAGGAGCTCACCTATAGAGAAAAGTGCTCAGTTCATTCTTAGAAGTCATTCTTGATTGGCTAAAGTTCTTAAAAATTTAAAGCTTTATAAAACTCAAAAGAATTCTTAGAATCTCATTAACAAGTTAATTTGGGGATTGTCCCTTTCAGGTCCTCTGTCAGCCAAAAAAATTATCCTGATCCTTAACCATTTTTCCTTGCATGTTACATTGTCATAGAGCAGTGAAGTGATGATCCTCCAGTCTCTCTTCATGATATAGATGAGGACATCGAGGCCTAGGGAGTGAAGGAGTCAGTCAGGGTCATGTGGCCAGAGCCAGGACTAGAACGCAAATCCTTGCCCCCAGCCTGGTGTGCTCAGCCATCAGTCATTGGAGAGTTCTTGGAGATGGAGGGAGGAGGGGACCCTGATGCTGGGACTAAAGGGTACCAGAGAGTTTTCAGGGCCCTGAGCTCAACCGTTCATGGCACCTTTTTGCCCTGAGCTTGGGGGTCCTCTTTAGAAAAGCTGGAGAGCTCCTTTACAAGTTCACAGTCTTGAGGACCTGAGGTAAACTCACTCACCCTAATTAATTAAAAATAAATAAAAGGTAACTCCCTCCCTATTCCCACACCTCTGCCTTATCGAACCATGAACATCACTTAGCTCTAAATTGGTCAGTAATCCTTTAAAAATAAATTCCCAGGAGAATACAAGGTTCTGAGCTTTAATTTGGGATTTGAATGCTTCCTCTTTTTTGTTTTATTTTCCACCCAAGCATCAAATAGCTTACGTGAAAGAGCAGTTCTGGTTTTAAAGGAAAATTGCATGCTTTGACTCATAATTAATCTTTGTTTTCTACCATCTCCATGGATAATTACAATACATCAATTTCTGTCCACAAGCTGGCAGGAGCCTGTTGGCATCCTCGGGTGCTGGACCACACCCTTCAGATAGTGTTTCTGGGAAGGGGCAGCAATGTGGCACAACAGCTCAGGCTCAGGGACATGGTGATGATTAAAGCTGAGGCCCTACATTTATGTAGACCACAGTGACACAGTCACAGAGCTAAATCCCTAAATGTCCCATCAAAGGGGCTAAAATTAGACTGGAAAGAAAAACAAGCCAGGTGGGCTTCTATGGGTAGACAGAGCATAAGCACAGATGGGCTGGCCTCTGAGCAAGACTTAGGCTCAGGTTCAGCTACAGGCTCAGAGGACTGGTTCCATGGTGAGGCTATGATGTGTGCATGTGGGCAGCGGGGGCTCATCAGCTACTCAACATACTGGAGCCCACTACATGTCAGGCCCTGTGCTGAGTGCTAGATGATTACGAAGAGTCCCTGCCCATCAGGAGCCTATATGCATGGAGAATAAAGGCATGTACAAATGCAAAGATCACAAACAATACTGAACAGTGTATACTGAGTATACAATAATGTATCAGATTATGTCCTTTCTCAAATACCTTCCATGACTCTCCATTACCTTCAAGATGTTTCAACTTTTCTTCCTGCCATTCAAGACCTTGACCAACATTTTAAGTTTCATTAATGCTTCCTACCACCCCTCTACTTCCATGAGTGCCTTCTCACTCTGCCTAATTTCTGCCATTTCATTCCCTGTGCTTTGGCCTGAACAGGTTAGCTATTTTCATGCTTCCATGTTTTTTATTCATTCTTTCCCCTCTTCCTAGAATGTTCTCTCTTTCTGCTTGTAGACAGTGAACTCCTAGTTATCATTCAAAACTCAGTCCAAATATCACCCCGTTTCCTTGTTCCTATTCTCCACCTGAAACAGAGCCCCTTCCTTCTTGCTGAGCTCCTGATTGCACGTGGTACACATCTCTGGCATGCTATATCCTTTGGTGTACTCTCACGGCTTCTTTGCATGTCTGGTTTCTCCAGTAGATGGGCTGCTCCTGCAGGGCTGTCTTACCCACTTCTGTATCTTTAGTGCATGGTGCCGGGCCTAGCATAGGTCAGGTCCCAAATAAGCCCTGAATGTAACTGAACTGCAAAATAGTAGAACCGAAGAAGTCCCCAGAAATCATCCACTTCAACTTCTTCACACTACAGGAAAGAAAAGTGAGACCCTACCAGAAATTACTTTCCCATACAATCTGGCAATTATTTGGTAGTTAACAGGCATATTCTCCAAAGCCTTCAGGAAGGAAGTGGGATTTGACCTTGGTTTTAAAGAATGTGTTGAATTTGGATTGATGAAGCAGAGAGGGGAGAGAGGATATTCTATTTTGGAGAAGAGGGTATGAAAAGGCAAAAAGTAGGAAAGACTAAGAAGACACATTTTATGGCAATGACAAGGCCAGGAAGTTTGAAGTAGAAGAAATGATAGAGAGAAGACCAAAAGTTCATTTCTAGTCATCAAACACTCCTCCACATCAGGCCTGCACTTGGCTCAGGAATTATAGAGAAAAAGCAAACACATCAAATGTCCAGTTTCATGAGGGAAACAGTTGGGCAAAGATCCACCTAGAAAATGATGGGCTGAGGGGTGCAAAGTGCTGTGGAGGCCCAGATAAGTGGCTACCTCCTGGGAAGTTGACTTCCCAAAGAAGGTGAGTCTGGAGAGGGAGGGAAGAGGACAGCCTCTGCAGAGGCCCAGAGATATAGGATGTCAGCCTTCCAATGGCTCCCCTCACTCTGTGTGTCCCCATCTTTGATTGGATGCTCTTTGTCTTCCAACTCACTCTTCACAAGTCATCCTGTACATTCACACTCCTCTCTACCCACTGCACCATTAATCCCCTGTCACTATCCACCTGTGGTTGCCCTGCCTGTGCCCAAACCTGGACTTGCTTCTCTAGGGCAAGCACACCTCCCTTTGCACCCATAAAAAATACCCACCTCATGTCCTGTGCTCCCTTTGAGTGTTAAGAACCATACTCCTTAATGATGGTGAACAGCACCTAATAATTTATAAAGTTCTTCCTTAGCCTCCACTCACTAGAGCCTAAGAGGCAGGAAGGACATTAATTATTCTCCTATTTTAGAAAGAAAGAAATGGAGGCTCAAAGAAAGGAAGGAATTGCTTCAAGATCACTTTGCTCCCCCCCCCAAAAACCCCAAAACAAAACAAACCGAAAAACTACTAAAAATCTTTATCCAGGTCACAACATTTGTGGTACACCACTTCCCAACAATAAGAAAAGCAAAATATTCAATTTCCAGTTAAAAGAAACCAGATAACAAATTAAATAAAAATAAATGTTCACACTGATACCAAATAAAGAATAAAAGATCACATTGCCCATAAGCAACACTCCTCACATAAACTCCAAGGTGCACAGTGCAGGGCCTAGCAGATGCAAGGTGTTAATGAATACTGAAGTCTAGCTGTATCCCACCTATGCTGGACAACCTTGCTGCGTTGGCAAGGTCCTTTAGTGAATGTGGATTTTCCGGTAGTGAGGCATCTTAGTGGGGGAGACATGTTGCTTGGTGTCCCTTTGTGTGCTTTCACTTCTTCTGTCTTTATCCTATTCATGATTCATCAACAATGAAGGAAAATGGGTGCTACAAGTTCAGAGCATGATGGACCATGAGAAGTCACTTCTTCAATCCTAATTCAAACTTAGCCCAATAAATTCCCACATTTATGGCACTAAGCAATTTCTGCCATACATTATTTTGTATAGTTCATGTAGCTGTCTCCTCTGCTGAACTGTAGACAACTTGAGGACGGTATCAATGTGTGCTCATCTTTGTCTCCTTCAGAGTCTGTCAAGCCATACCTACCACCTTGCACCACACAACTGTCAATTGCAGTGGGGTAAGAAAAACACTAGGTGTGCTTACTAATATTATCTCACTTAACCTCACAATGCCACTGCAAGATTGGAATTATGTATGCCCATTTTACAAATGAAACTCAGAGAAGTTAAACTTGCCTGAGGTCATGCCTCTCATACATAGTCGACTTTGGAATTCAGTTCTGTTCTTTCTGGCTCAAAAGCCCACTCTTTTCACTGCAAATAAATTTTAGTCCAATGAGTAAATGAAAGTTGCATCAATTTATCAGTCAACAAGGCCCTGTCTGAGGTAAATTGCAAAAATGTATTAAGCTTGGTTTCTTCCCACAAGGAGTTCATAATCTTGTATGTGAGCAAAATAGACAAAGGGATAATTCCTGAACAGTGGTGCTAAGGGTGCTGGGTGCTGGGACACAAAGATGAACCAAACTCATCTGTACTCTCCGAGAGCACTGAAGCTTGCTGAGGAGACCGACACATGGAATGCCATGATTTGGTTGTACTGAGGTATATGAAGGGGACTCCGAAGCCCTTGAAGGTTATGAAGGAAATGGGACCCCAGGTTCTCTCAAGCTGTTCACCTGTGTGTCCTTCCCCATCCCATCATGGAATGGGTAGTGAGAGTTGGAATCTGGGTGGAAAAGTGGAGGAGCTGGAGCTGTCCCACTTTTATTTTTTCTCTGGAACCAGAATGATACAGTGTATCCATGCATGCAACAGGGCTTTCATAGAGCTACAGGGCCTGCTTTAACCAGACTCTGAACTGGTTTCTGGGGACACAGAGAAAAAGGTGGCAAGGCTATTGTTCCTAGGAAGAGACTATCCAGTAGGGAAGATGGATATGCACACAGATGATTTTATTATAGTGTGTATATATGCTGTCTTCTCTCTTTCTGTTATCTCCCCCTTTGCAGGAAAGAAAAACCCCTTCCCTACAAGCACCCACTCCTGCGGGACCCAGCCAGCAACTACCCCAACGGCAAAGGGGACAAGAAGAGCTCAGTGAACCACAAAGACCCTTCAAACCCTTTTTAAAGATATGGAGTTTGGGGAGATCTAGTGGGGGGAGGAACATGCATTTTCTGCTGGGGCATGAAATTAATCACCCTCCTCTAGTTTCCAAGATGAGGATTTGTGGGCTAAGTCACAGGCTAGTGAAAGGGAAGGGGAAAAAATATGAGAAATTTAATCATTGATTTTTCCTTGTGTCAACGGAAAATCAATTGTGAGCCTTCAACTCAGAGCTCAGAAACGAAACAGGAGACTGGAACTAGGTGAGCACAGATGCTATTTTCCACAGTGTAAAGAATCCCGGTTGAGGAAAACATACACATCCCTTTTAAGAGGTTTAACACATCTCAGGTCAGTTGTTTCAAAGCCATTTTAGCTTTTTAGGTTGTATAGTTACTGCAGATGGTTACCTTTTAAAATAGGCTATGGTTGTTTATAGCTTCAGACATGCAGTGTCCATATTTTCTGATCCTAAACAGCAGCAACCATATATACAACCCAAAAGCGAATGTGTTATTGGGAACAATAGGACAGAATTTTTGAAATCATGGTGGTCTTAGATAAGTGACCACTGTATGTATAAGCTGCATGCCTCCTGATTTCCCCAGACCCTAGTATGCAACTTTAGAAAACTGTTCTGAGAATTATTTCTCAATTTCCTGGGTAGTTTAATGGAAATTTTAGCTCCTAAGACAAAAAAAATATTGGTCACCCATTTCAAAAGGGTTATCATGGTTAAGGTCTCCAGATCCCAGGTGACAGGGCTCAAGCCTGGCCCCTGAAGAGGTGGGCATTGAAAATCTGCAGTGAGAAAATGATGATTGCCAGGTGAGGGAGAGGCAAAAGACAGAGGGATGCACCAGAGAGGTAGGAATGATAAAATAAAACAACAGCAGTAGCAATTCCCACGGTGGGGCAAGCTAAACATTGCACATTTTTCTGAAGCTTAAAGTGCCTTTGTATCATGAATGGGTCCAGAGGAGCCTGCTCCCTTCCTGTCTGTGAAAGCAGCAGGCTGAGTCACCATGACAGCCTGCTAATTAAAATGACCTCCCGGAAATGAGGATTAGGAGATGGGGAGAGGACAGGAGGCTCAAGGGAGAAAAGGCCTTTAGCACAAAGCTCCAGTTAAGGATTGTTTTTTGGTTTGTTCAGTCTGGAGATTTTTTTAATTTGTTGCAAAAATGAAGAGTAAAAGTTGTTTTATTTATTTATTTTTTGCATGTTAGTTTTCAGAAATGATAACACAGAACCATATGTTAGTTGGCTACACATGTTGTATTGTACATCCAGCTTATCCCCTGGGTTCTTGTTGCCCAGAGGAACACAAATAAAGTGGTTTGTGCAGTTCCTCTGTTCCTGAGCGTTCTTGGCATCTTTCCCTATAGGTCTCCCATGGCTCCAGAACCACCCAGCCAACCCAAAATTGGTGTAACCCTCACCTCGAGGTCAGGGACTCTGTCATCAAAATAAGGGACAGCAGTCAAGTCCTGAATTTCCTGTGTCAGAGTCCTGGGGAGTTTAATTGACTACAACCATCTCAATGTATGTCAACAGTGTGGCAGCTTTTTGGAAATGATAGTATTATTTTAGGTAGCATGAAGAGAGGCTGATTGCATAAAATGAGAGGTGTGATAGTCTGGACACATTTTTCTCTGGCCAGGTCACTTTCATAATATTGTGATCATATATAAGCCCATATTTTAAAAACTACATTGACTAATTGAATCACAGGCCACACAAACAGCAAGTATGCTAGTTATTTCAGAGCAGAAACTTGGAGACAGGCAACTCTGAATTCTAATTCTGCATTCAAACCTTGGTTCTAGTTTTTAAAATTTGTGTGCTCTTAGGCACGTTGTTTAACATCTCTGGATCTCAGTTTCCTCACCTGAAATATGGTAATGTCTACCTGATTATAAAAATTGTGAAGTTTTAATGAATTTAGATGTAGGAAATGGCAGCAAAAACATTTATGTCTCACTAGATGATAGCTACGATTATTTGGAACGTGACCAGGATGGTGACGTGTCTGTGAATCATTTCCCATTAGAAATGCTTGAGGAGACTGGAGCAGTTTACCCCGAAATAAAACACAAGAGGGAGTAGGAATAGGAAAGAAAGATCACTGTCTCTAAAAAGTTGAAAGGACATCATGGGTCCAAAGAAGCAAAGTTGTTCTGTGTTTCCCAGAGGTACTAACAAGTCCAAGGAGTGAATCTCAGTAAGGTAGATTTCTGTTCAGGATGAGAAAAACTTTTTAGTGAATAGAATTGCCAACCGCTGGATGGGCTCCCTTGGAAGACAGTGATCTCCCCATTACTAGAGGGGTATAAGAAGAGTCTGAACAAATAGATATCATGGAGGAAGCAAAGAGCACTTATTCTTTAGGGGGATGCTGGATTGGAAGCTGAATGCTCACAGCATCACCTTCTAGTCTCTGTCTCTGGAGAGAAATGACATGAGACAGGATATTACATTTTTGGATGTGAAAGGATCCATAATACAGAATAAAAAGTATCATGTAACATTAGACACAGTGACATTAGCTGTCTCTGAATTACAGTATATGGACTCTGCTAAACCTTGGCATTCCTAAAAGAAATTCCTAAAGGAGAGGGAAAAAACTGGCTATCAGGTAGACTGTAGGGCATGCCTGCTTCTCCACATTGGTAGAGCAGACAGGAAGGGACTAGCTAAGAGACCAGGGGTTTTCAGTGGCCATTCCTGTGGCGTTGGCCTCCTGAGCTCCTCCTTCGCCTTTTTGGACAAGGTTATACTTATGGCCTCAAGCTAGAAGGGAAAAGTTTTCAGCACTGAGATGGAGGACAGCGCCAAGAGGTGTTTCAACCAGCCAGAGGCTACTAACCCACCCAGGCCCAGCAGGGGGCGCTCCAGCTTATCTGTTTGTCTGCCCACTTCCTTCTCAGAGTAAAGACACAAATGGATAAAGCTGCCACCAAACCAGTTTGAGAAGGAGAGAGAGAGACAACTATGCAAAATGTGTGTTTGGGGGTAAGCGGGGGTGAGGAGAGAGAGAACTTACCAAGGCTCTCCCTGGCTCTCACCCAACTCTCTATACTATTGCAGTGCTAGCTTTGCTCTGCCTCAGTCCAGAGGTGCAGAGACGGGACTATAGATCTATTTATCCCCAAAAGCTGTGGTAGGCAACCTGGAGCCTACCCAGCTTCTTGGTTGCTGAAGCCCACAGCGGTTGAGGCTGATGAGTTTGCTGGGTAGCAGCAGCAGCAGCTGTGGGCTTTTAGCTAGGAGCTTTCCCCATTACCTTTTAAATAGGGACAGGTGCAGGAAGCACAAAAAGAACCTGTATCCTTTCACTGTAATTCAACTGATGCACCTCAGCCCTGCCTTACAGGACCTCAACTCACTTTTCTAAGTAGTAGGAATAGAGCCCACTATGGAAGTGTGGGGTGGCTAACATTTGCTGAACATCAACTCATACATCTCCCGAATATTAGAACATTATATATTTATTCTCACGTGTTTAAACTTCAGTCACCTTCAACATACTCTCCATTTGACGCAATGCACCTATCGAGATTCTTTTTCCACTTCTCAAAACAGTTTTTGAACATGTCGATTTTGAAGACTTTTAGTGCTTCTGCTGTTTCACCTCTTCCACAACAGCAAAACATTTAGTGCTTTAGTGCTTCTGCTGTTTCATCTCTTCCACAACAGCAAAACATTTCTCTTTGAGGACTTTTTTCATGTGGGGAAACAACAAAAAAAGTCGTTCAGGGCGAGATCGGGTGAATGGGGGAGTGGGGCATGAGGGTCATGCAGTTTGGGGCCAAAAACTGCTGAACACTCAGCATGGTGTGGGGAGGTGCTCTTGTAAATCACCTATCATAAAATAGGCAAATGTGTTGAAAGAATCTCCAGAAAAAATTTCACTGAAGCCAAACGCAACCTCTCACAACAATGCTAGCTGGTACACTAATGATAATGGGTTCCTAGAACATTTACCTGGTAAGGGAAAGCCTGTACTACAAGGAGCCCACCATCCAAAAATGAATTCCCTTTTTTGAGGGGGGTCTCCCCCTCATATACTGTGTGCCAGGAATTGTGCTAGATGCTTTTGTGCCCATTGACTTATTTGATATTCCCAACATTCCATAGGTAAATGTCACTTTCTGTGTTTCCCAGATGAGAAAAGTAAGAATCCTAAAAGAAAAATCCTTTGTTTGCATTCATATGGTTAGTGAGAACCAGGGTTCAAACACTGCTCCTTGTCCACCACCCCACAGTGGGCCTTCTCCATTTGTCTCCAGATAAAATTAGGTCAAAACAAGAAATAGGTTAAAGCAAAACAACAAGTAAACAATGCACCATTGAGAGAAGTGGAGGTTAGGGTGAGGGGAAGGGAGCATGTAAGTTTTATAGACTGGAAAAACACAGGTTTCAGAACTTTTTAGCATCTGCTGCAGAAGCTCCACCTTCTCACCATCTCTGATTTCCACACACCTGTCTGAGTTCCTTCTGGTCATTCCAAAGTCCTCCAGAGGATAGAATTTGGGCAATGGAGAGGCTTCTAGCTCTGCCAAGGCCCCTGAAAGCTCAGCCAGGTAGTCATTGCAGGGCTCATCCTGGCACCCTCTGGGTTACTAACCCCAGACAGATAATCTAGCTCAGAGTCCTTCTTACTTTCTCCTTCTGGCGCCTGTAAACTAAGCCTACTGTGTTGTTCAGATGAGTTTCTGCCCCATGAGCACTTAAAGGGCACCAAAATTAGAAGTCATTTTCCCTGTGGCTCAGTTCAGGGTCAAACAGAATAGGGGAGACTAATAACATAACATAGCATAGCATAACATAACATAACATAACAGAATATAAACAGCCTGAGATTAAAGTCAGACAAACCTCAGTGTGAATTTTAGCTCTTCTGTCAATGGTATAGCTTTGGGCAAAGAATCTAACCTATTTAAACCTCAGATCCCCATCTGTAAGATGGGAATAATTAATATCTACTTCTTAGATTTATGGTGAGGATTAAATATAATAAC